TACCTCAATAGGTACCCACAAACTCCCAGAAGAAGAATTTCCCACATTTTAAATCAAGGTTGTTTGTACCTATGAAGGTGTCTGCACACATATGCAAAGATGTCTCAAAACTCACTGTTGCAGTCTCCTCATTTTATTGCACATCTTCATCATCTGAGCTGCTAGAGTCCCAAGCACTAGGCAGTTGAAGAGGGACTGAAACATCAGGCAGTAGTACAATGTCAGACCGCCCCTCTCAATCACAGACACTTTTCTTGATTGATAACCAAGGGGAGGAAGGTAGAGGTGCAAGGTTCCCTAAAATGCTTTTGCTACTATTTTTTTTTAGATGCAGTCCCTAACTCAACCAGCCAGTTCCTTTCAAAGTGGGTTGTAAGTAGACTGTATTAGATCAGCAATTCCAGGACACTGAGTGATGTTTTCTTGCATCCAGTAGAAGATACTAGGCATCTGACTCTTTTCTGTCTTATGACTAATCTCAAAAAAGGGGGGTTGTATTGCATATCTTAGAGACAGACAAATTTCTCAACCTCAGAACTGCTAGCCAGAAATCATCTTGCATGGCTGCAACCACCAGGACATACACCACATGTGGAAGGAGGACAAGAAGCTGCTGTTGGAGTAGTTAGCAGTAGGGGGCTTACACTTGATTCCCAAGGAGGTCCTCCTGGGTGCCCTATAGTGGCATACTGTGGTAGTCACAGCCAGCCTAGAAAAGCAAGCAGCGCTTCAGAGTGCTCCCAGGCTCTGGCCATGATCCATCCTGTTGCACTGGTAGCAGGGTCCTTGGCACACTTTTGATCTGTGCCAACCAGCAATTGCCTGAACTGTTCCTGGGGTCCATCTGGCAGTTCGCACGCCCCTGGGAATGTCCCCAGGAGGTGCTGTGCATACAGCCACCTTGCTTGGGATACTTGGAGAGGTCACTCCAGGCCAGTTGGCTGAGCACCTCTGAGTGTTTCCAGCCTCACCAAACATGCCCATCTACCTGTGGGGTCCTGATCTGTCTGCAGTCAGATTCTTAGGATAACCCAACAACCCCTGTTAGCACCTACTTTTTCCCACATGTGGGGGTTGAAGGTACCCAGTATCAGAGCCAATCTTTGTACAAACATAGCATTGCAGTTGGCTGTTTTGCTGTATGCAGTGTGCTGGCATCCTGTACCATTGTATTGAATACAAGTTTACCAAACACCTGAGCAGCACATTAGGAGAAACACTAAGGATTGAAACTCCCAGAGCTGCAGAGACCTCCTCATGTAAAACTGAGCAGTGGGACAGAAACAAGTGCATGTAGACTGTGACTTATTACTTGTCTTTTTTGGTTTTGCTGTTGCCACACAGTATCGGTATCAGTCCTGTAGAAGTGAGCTATGAGAACTGCTGGTCTGGTGTGTTGGAATAAGCTTTCTACAATTGTCCTAGCATTTTCCCCTGTGGACTGAAGAGGATATCCTGCATAAAAGACCATGTTTGAAAAACATGGCTTACAGTAGCCAGCTATATTTTCAGTACATCCACTTTTCAGAGCCAGTTTAGATGTCACTTGCCATTACTTAAATGAGACTTTAGTCAAACTCCTGTGAACAAACCGTTGAAGGATTTGTTCAACAAAGATGGTGGGGCTGCAAGTGGCCCTCTCCTGCCTGGGGTACCCTTCCCAGTCAGGGCCTGTCCACAACCCTTTCGTTGCTCTGTACTTTGTGGCGAGGCTTGACTGAGGCTCCCTCATAATAGAACCAGGTCAGGAGAAGAGGAATCACAGAATCATAGAATCAACCGGGTTGGAAAAGACCTCTGAGATCATCAAGTACACACCTTCTTTAATCCACTCTGCCTAAAATCAATCCTTGTTTGCTCTCACTTCTCTGCCTCCCCTACCTATTATGTACAGTCCCTTTTCATTTAGTTTTATCTCCCCTACTTCAAACTTTAAATGTCAGAAGAAGCATTTTATTCTTGACTTCTTTATCTGTCTTTGTGGTTTCCCTCTTCTCCAGACCTTTCGGTGTATTCTGGCCCTCATCCATTGCAAGAAGAGGCAATCCATGTAATAGCTGTTTATTTCAGAGGGAGAGATGACCTGGGAGAAACCTCCTTCCTGATCTCATATTTAGCATTTGATTTAAACCTGAATGAATGAGCAAGGCACTCTAAAATGTCATTAAGGAATTTCTTGATTGCTAGATACACCCATGTTGTAGTTGGTTTTGAGAGAAGATGCAGAAAAAGGAAAAAAAATATATATTCCCTTAGAAACGTACTACTGGCATAAAACTTAGTATCCATTCATATTGAATTGATAAAAAAATGCAAATCAGATCTTTTTCAAACATCTACCTTTGCCTGTACCAGTAAATGAATCCTGTTTACAATTCTATATGAACAATATCTTTTCATAAATTGTGAACATAGTCACAGCATTCACACTATGTCACAGGAAACACTAGTGGGTTACAGTCCACACGGCTCAATCATTTGCTTTAAAAGGCTTAGACATTTTAAGTAAGCTCATGGTGAATTTCATAGTGACTGCTTTATTTACATGCTGCCTATCAGAAGAGATCTGTTTCCCTAAATTAGCCCTCTCTGGAATATAATAGCAGCTTTCAAACTCACCACATGTTATCTATATATTTTCAGTTATAAATAGGGTCATACTTGTGAGTTAATGGGTTTAGTTCTGAAAGTGCCAAAACTTTGATCAACACATGTAAAACAATTGACTGAAAAGGGTGATTTTGATCAATGCTTTATACATCAGTGTTCATTACCTACAGTATGACAGGAAACATAACCACTACTGAAACCTTTTAATATCTGCAAGAGGGAAAATGGTACTTGGAAATTTAAAAAAGATTAGATAATAAAAGAGCACTTGAGGCAGTACCTCTTATGAGTACTTGCAGGATATGTAATCCAGTTACAGAACCTGAAGCACAAATCATTGCAGCTTTCTTATTTTTTCCAAGTTTTATCTAAACAATAATTCAGCTATTTAGAATTTCATTTATAGTACAGCAGTCTTGTTTTTCTTTTTGTGCTGTGTGTTTTGTTTACGTAGTCGGTGGTGGGTTTCTATTTGGAAACTTAAACTATAAAAAAATCAGTTCCTTGATTTGCTACGAAATATCAGTAAGATAAAAATCCTGGTCTCACTGACGACAGCAGAAATACTGCCATTTCAGCCCAGGGTCCCATACAAACAACTGACTGTTGGCTTGGCCACACAGCCAGGCATCTTGTGAGTAACTCCTGTGGAGTCAACAGGGACATCCGAGACGCACACGCAGGCTTCCTATTGAACAAGATGTTAACTGCAACACTGCAACACATTTAGTTTGAATAAAGCCTCCATTCTTTAATCAGTGTAACTGTCAAACTAAGGCAACTGTAACTTCTTAGTTTACATACCAGCATCACCCAGGGAAGAAATTTACTTCTGACTGAACACAAAGAAACCTCATCTACTCATTCAAATTATACCTTATTTGAAAACACAGGCATAGCATGGTTCTTGCCTGGGGAACAGGGGAGGAACAATGTGAGTATTTCTAAACATTTCCAGCCTTACCCATTTGTTGACAGACCCTTGAGTTATTTTGGAAGCTCTGTCTCTGCTGCTTGCCATGTCAGTTATTATATTGAAAATTTAATTGTACAAGGGCTTTGACACTGAACCTTATAAATTTGTTCCAACTGACCTTGTCTCAGTTATTTGCCAGCCTGGCACGGAGACTTAGCAGTCATTATTTGTTCTCATGCAGTAGGTAGGAGCAGCATGGAGCAGGAGATAGAATGGTCCTGACATTTTACATGACTTTAAATGAGGAAGAAGCTTTAAATAAAGAGATTATTATGCCCACCACAAAGAGTGTTGCATTTCTCTCAAACAGACCGAATTTAGGTTGTACAGAATTACTTCTTTGTACCGTGAGTGTGGCTGTTTGCTCTGTAGCATTTTCAGACATCTACTTAAATTTATTCTTCTTTCACCATTCACTTAATTACTCCTTTCTACACATTTCAAAAAAAAGTTTTAGAGCATGGCTTTCATGTTCTGAAAACGGTACAAGTCACTGCAACGCATTAAAAGCAGAAAACATGTATCGGAGTACAAATCCCCAGCTGGATGTTTCACAAAGTTTTGGAAATCTGCAGCACACTTTGAAATCTTTCCTCGAAAGAATCACAGTGAAAAAGCGAAACACAGCAAAAGCTAGTGAATAAATGGTGCTATATTTGAATCACACATCTACAAAAGGTTCAGTAGATTTAATCCTTATTTACACAAGTGTGAGAGCAAAGCATCACGTGCAGATTCTTCAGAGGTATGACTTGCAGTTGAGCTCCCTCTGTTGGCTCTGTAGCAGCTGAAGTGCATTTAGTAACTTCTTTTTCAATATAAATACATCACATTGGCAACACTAATCTCTGTGTAAAAATCATTATGTTGCACCACTAAAAAATGTGAAGTTCAGTTCTCATTAGAATCATCGGAATAAACAATATTTAAGAAAAAGAAAAACAGGAACCTCTAGAGGCTCAGGAGTGAGTTCTTGGAATGGGTGTCTAGCATACGGAATTCCAAATTATCTTGCAGTTCAATGATTTATAGGTTCTGAAATAGAATCTGGGGATGAGTTTCTTGCACTTTTTTTTTCCATACTTTCAAACAATTGGGAAATGAAACAAATTCATACCCAGTGTTTAGAGAGACTCTGCTCAAAAGTGATCAGTGTGTGCTCTCAGTGAATTGATGGCTCCAAAGGAGAGCTGTCTGCACAGAGCGAGCTGACAAGGAGACTTGTAAACATGATTTGAGTCTCAAGGGTGAGGCTGCAAGCAAGATGGAAAGGATTTCCAGGAAATGAAAACTGGATGTGGGAACCCATGTCCATCCTTTGGGGTTGTGTGCTTGGTGATAACTTATGATAGCCATTGTGGAAAGCCACTGTTCTTTTCTTGAAGTCAATTTTCTCTATTTCTTTTTCTCCTAGGCGTCTGGATGCCAACCACATCAACTATGTGCCCCCCAACTGCTTCAGTGGCTTGGTCTCCCTTAGACACCTGTGGCTAGACGATAATTCTTTGACAGAAATTCCTGTCCAAGCTTTTAGGAGTTTACCAGCACTTCAGGCAATGACATTGGCACTGAATAAAATTCATTACATACCAGACTATGCCTTTGGAAACCTCTCCAGTTTGGTAGTTCTGTAAGTTTCATTGATTGCATTTTAGACACAATCTTTTCTTGCAGGGCTTTGGCCTCTTTGTGGTGAATTACTTGAGGATGCAATGTTTAATTTAGATGTTACTTGACACAACCCTTAATAATTAAATATTCCCCTAGTCCGTGTCCAGTTGGCAAATTATAGGTAAATAGGTATAGGCATGAGTCTGTTTTGTCTTATAGTCTTAATATTAAATTAATATCTTGGGGCTATGAATCTGCAGTTTCCTTTCTGCGATTGTTCTAGGCTTAGTGATATTCCTGAGATCAAAAGATCAATGTCATTTGTTCAGAAAATGGTGGTTTTGAAATATAACTGCAGTTTTCTGGGTTGCATATGTAATACAACCCAAAATTTTTACAAGTTATCTTGGAGAAAATAATTTTTTTGCATCTTCCTACAATTTGACTAACATTTCCTAAACCACTTGTTTTGAACTAGCTCAAAAGTTTCCATCTCAATTAAAAAGTATGTAAGGGAGTTAAAAATCACCCTATCTGGTCAGCAAAACAAACAGGAAGGGAGGAATTGTGTGCTCCATAAGACTGACTGAGGGAAGATTAGAAACAGGAAATGAACTGAAATCTTTCTGGGGGACTTGGAAAGAATGCTGTCTAGTAGAAAAAAGTATGCATTTCCCTTCATAGAAAGTATATGTATTTGGTTATGTTTGCATACCAGTTCAACTAATTGAAACATGCATGGCTGGCACCAAAATCTGGAAGGTATACTGGAGAGCATGATTTCAGCTTTTTATCTTCTGGGAATGTACCAAGTAGAAAAAAAAACTAAACTGGCTGGAGAAACTGAGGTGGAGAAGGTATTTCAGGACACTTTAGAAAATGTTAGCATTATTAAAGAGAGAATGATATATTCAAGCTTTACAAGCTGTCTGAAACAATAGTTTGTCAGACACTTACGTGTTTTATATGTTTTAGCATATTCCAGCCCCAGTGTAACCACTGAACCTGGCACACATCAGGGTTCTTTATTTAGTCACTATCTCTCCCTAGTGCTTAATATACTCATATAAGTACATAGGGCCCCAAAAATGGGGATTAACATCTGCCTTGTGCTGCAAAACCTTTGCCTTCTCTTTACATTAAGTATCAATCACATTCAAGTTAAAGAGTGGATGGACTTGTCATTTGATTAGGCTTCTAGGCTTATATCAGTGTTGGTAAAGACAAGAGGCTGTCTTGAATGTTGTTCTCTAGATCCCTACCAGAAATGTAGTGATAAGAGGACAGTTAAGAAATTCAGGAGAAAATAATTTCATTTCATGCCCTGATTGCTTCTGCTCAGTTAGGTTTCCTTATTTAAGATCTGCCTTCCTTATTTCTAATCTTCTGGGCTATATAGTGATTAATAATTTAATCATCCCTCATTATGTGCAACATTTGATATTTCTGGCTCCTCGAAATCTTTGTGTGTGGTTCTGCTTTCATTTGTTTGCTACTCTATACAGTCTGGCAAATTTTGAATTCAGTGCAAAAATGCATGGTCAATTGGAGCATGTCAAAACCTTTATAATTAAAGATCCAGACATAATTGGAATTTGGAGATGCACTCTTCATGTTAACTAAAGCATTAAAGGTCAGTGTAGTCATTAAAAATAGAGTTGACTAGGTTTCTTCCTAGGAAAGGAAAAACCTACAGAACATTTTATTTTACCATCAGAATCCCTGCCTTTAATGGACAGGTAGACTCAATTTCTGTAGGTTTTGCAGAAAATTCAGAGATCCACTGATCTTTAATGATATTTTCAGAGCAGAGTGAAGTATTGAAGGGGCCTGGCAGCCCTCATTCACAGCCTGTATTTTCTTTTAAAGCAGTATTCCTCTAGTTTCCTTCCACTATAGGGATGAAGTTTTGAGGATGAAATAACAGGAAAAATCTGTTGGGGAAAAGGCATCCTTTTTAAATTAAATGACCTGAAGTGCCTACAGGTTGTATCTACTCATATTAATCAGCTTGACTCAGAGTGGGTTTTCTCCCTGTTGTTTTAAAGACTTAGAAATAGGCAGACCTCGTAGTCTTTGTGTGTGGGGATTGGTTAAAATATATAAAAATTACTTTCAATTGCTAAGTATTTCAGGAAGTAGTTATTGATTTTCATAATTTCAAAGGAAGGCAAATTACAACACTTTTAAGATTAGTTAATTTGCTCATCTCAGCAACGCTGCAACTTCTTGTCTTACGGCTCTGTGTCTGCTTGCATTCTGCAAGCCTAATGCCCCTTACCTGTCTGCCACGCTGTCAGTCTCCTCATCTGCTGCTGGTTTGTGCCATCCCCTCTAACACCATCTGAATATACATCTTCCAGATATACACCTCACACCCCACACACAGTTTTTAAGACAACATGTTAATTAACCAATTAACCATCACTAAGAATATGTCTATTTGATATGCAGATGCCAATCTGAAACTGCAGGATATAACATTTTTAAACAATCTAGGTGGTTTTAAAACAGATCCCCTCTATGAAACCAAATGGAAGCCTGTGTGGGTGGAGAGGTATCAGGAGAAAGAGTAGAGGGTGGTGGAGGTGCCTCCTATACATGCACTTTCAAAAGCATGACTTGCATATAATCAATGCATGCCAAAATAAGTTTCTTTTGATTTAACCATCAAAATGTTTTGCTTAAGTCCACTGTGTGCAGTGTGCTTTCCTGACTGCGTGCTTAATGTTCCCCTGCAGACATCTCCATAACAATAGAATCTATTCCCTGGGAAAGAAATGCTTTGATGGGCTCCACAGCCTAGAGACATTGTGAGTTGACCTCTTATTTGTTTCCTTTTTTTTAAAGTGTTTTCATTAATATTCTGAAAGAATAAAAATAACCTAAAAGCCAAATGTGGGGTTTGGCTTGCCTGATCATTACAGGATCTAAGTGATAGTTCACAATGACTCTATGTAGCAAATCCTACTTTTGACTATAAAATTAGTTTGCCTTTTTAATAAGCATTGTCAATTGATAAATTGTTTGAAAAACAGTTGAAAACTGTATTGAGCATTGAAAATGAAGTGACTATTCATGAAGTTATGTTTGTGTATTTTAGTACTATTTATTTGTCTTGTTTAATCAGTAAAGCTAATAGCTAGGTTGGGAAACTGTCACAATGAAAAGCTTTAACATTAAGAAACTGTCTTGCCATAGAGGAGCATTAAAAAATTAGATGGTAGGGGTTTTTTAATACCTGGAAAAAGCAAAAGTTCCAGGTAGTCAAATGACACATGTGCTTTACAAGCAGAGGAGGACAAATGTGTCAGTTGTAGCCAAGTTTTTGTCTTTAAACAATAATACTAGTAAAGATTGAAATTTCTTTAAGTTTTCACTGTAGTTCTATTCAGACCAATTCAAATTTTCTTGAGTTGTCTAGCAAAAAATTGTTCTACAGAAAGTGCCAAAGAGGAATGCGGTGCTGGTGGTTAGTGCAAAGTATGCCGCTACAGTTAGTCAAATAAAGATATCTTCCAGAGTCACCCACAGACCCAAAAAATGCTACGGGGACAGTAAAACCTTGCATGTCCTTCCTACAGCACCTGCCACAGTCAGCTGCATCATTTTCAGAGATTTTAGATGTTCTACCAAACCAGGACAGAGGCTAAAAAGCCTGTTATGAGGAAGAAATAGTTTCAGACATGAATAATGTTAGTCTGAAAGTTTCTGTTTGCTTTCTTATCCACAGAACTGCGTTCTGCCCACTTTTCATGTTTTATTAAGATCAGGAAGCAAGATGTTTTGGGCTTGTTGGTTTTTTTATCACCGGTTTTGATTACATTGATCCCTTGCCACTGAATTGCAGTTTTACAATTTGGACTTTTAGCTGGCTGTGAGTTGAGAGGAAGTCCCTTAGTGTAGCACTGGAAAGGGAGATGGGAAAGGAAGAAGGAAAATATAACTATTTTGGTTTTTTAAGTGATGTTCACATGGCACTTGGTCAAAAATGGGGGAAAATAGAACAATGGAATAAGTAATTGCAAGCCCAGTCCCAGCCATCTGACACAAGAGAGATGAAAACACAGAGGACAGTCAGGAACCTGGGAGTAAGTGTAGGTGCAGCCACTTCACTGCAATAGGACAGTGTAGCACTTGCCTCAAGCACAGTAATTGCATACTTTGTAGACTGGTTTCCAGATAGTTTCAAAATAATGTAAAGATCTTGGTGTAAATGACGGACACCGGCTTTAAGATCATTTGTTTGCATTGACGCATAGGTCTGGAAATAACATGTAACTGGAGGGCAAAAGCAAACCGTACATGCCTGTAATCTCTTTTTGTCAATAAGCAGGAGAGATTTACAAGCAGGAAGGAAAGCCTTGTTGAATTCAGACAGCAGTTTCCTGCCTGCATTACTTCAGCCTGATGCTATTTCAATTTCAATCTATTGTAAACTGTGGCTTGTGTTTTGCCTGTTTAAAAAGGCTTTTGGTCTCATTTTTCAGACTGCTTTCATCACAAAGCATTCCCAGAGAGCATCACAGTAAACTGGCATATCTCAATTTTAGTTTCGGGTATCTCCTAAATGCTAAAGGATATGTATGTCATGCTGAGAGCAGAAGTAGGATTATAATCCATTCAGCCTACCAGAGTAAAATCTTAATTTCTGCTGCAGAATGAGCAGTTCTTAAAGCAGAGGTCACTACCCTAGCTAAACTATCATTTTCACAATTTTTGTGGTTAGAAATATTCTTTGTATGACTATTGTCAAGTCTTAGAATTAACAATACAGTTAGAAATATTTATAGTGACATGTATTAACCATGTAAAATGCAGCTCACCAAACAAAGTTGTTGAATATTCTGTTTGAAAGATTTTTTTTCCCCTGGTAATACTTTAAAGTAGTGAAAGGGATAGGCAATTTACAAAACAGCAATCCCGTAGCAGTATCCAAATTCACTTACGTTCTCTTTATTGCAGAATAGCTTAGATGCAACAAAAAATAGTTACATTTTTATGTGTGCTAATAAAAAATAGGAATGATAATGTGCCCTAAATAGAGTTTGTTGGAAAACATCCATACACTTTTGAGGATTTCCTCGCTTTTTGCTGGATGTATCTTTCAGTGCATGGAAGATGATAGTTTATTACAAGTGCCAACAATGCTGTGTTATCTGTTACTCAGTGCATAACCTAAATAATAAAATCAAATTTTTTTACACAGAGATTTAAATTACAACAGTCTGGATGACTTCCCCACTGCTATCAGGACACTAACAAACCTAAAAGAACTGTAAGTACAGAGCTCGTATTAGGAAGGAGGATGTTTTGTCTCGTGTGTGATTATATTTTTTAATGCTGGTGATTTTATCAGTAGTCCTTACAAACTGATACTCTAGGATAAACTAATAAATATGCCAACATACATAAAAAATCATTTTCAGCATTCAATTTAGGACACTCAAGTGCTGACAAGTTTTACTTTTAAACTGCATTGTGCAGTCCGTTTTCTCCAGGAACTTCATCCTTGGAATACTGTAAATAATAAACACAGTTTACTCACTTTTAGTCCCAAACACAGTCTCAAACAGTTAGATCTTGCAAACAATGCAGTATATCAGTCTTCTAGCCTAAGAAGAAGAAGGCATGATATCCTTATTAGTCCATCAGGTTTAAATGTCTTAACCAACTTCCTCTCCCTTCTCCATTAAATTAAAGCAATTTCTTTTCAATATATATAGTCCTTTGTAATGCTGCTTTTGGATGCACAGCCATAGTTTGCATTTAAAAGAAATCAACAATGAAAATAAATTATTCAAATCTATTGTAAGAAACAGTTGTATTATTAAAAAATAAAAATAATTAAATTATATTGACACATCATACACGCAATGTACACATCAATGCATATGTTCAGAATTCTTTCCATTTGAATTATTTACCATGTTACTGGTACCATCAGCATAGATTTTTGACAAAACTAGGTAATCACATACTAGTTGGACATGGCTGTACCCCTGCTACATTAGAAACTGATCTAAAAAATACTTCTAAGTAGCTAACTGAGATTTTTCCAAAGCAGGGATCCCCAGACACTTCTGATTCCTGCTCAGCACCTTCAGTGTTGGCAGAATACAGCTCTGGAAAAGGCAGCAGGGCTGAGTTTCTCAGCCCAACTGTTCTCAGCTGCTGTTTATGTCATAAAATAATTAGTATGAAATCCAGTGACCTCAAAGGATTGCCTTTTTGATGATCCCTGGAGTCAGTAGGCAAAAATGGATAACTCGGGTTTGCAGGAAATGCACCTTATCCAGTCCAGCAGAGTGCCTGATGGCCACGACAGGACTTCACCTCTAAGTATCAAACTTATTATTGCACCTAAGCTCCTATGTGCAAGAAATATTTGGAGTTTGAAATTGTAACCTGACATCCCAAATCCAGCACGGATCATGAAACCACGTGGTTCAGTGCTTTGGGACCTGGAAGCTGATCTTGTAAGGATGTCTCGCACACAGTTGTCCATGCCCTGCTGTTCTCACCCACATGGGAGCCCAGGCCCACAGAAGTTCAGTTCATTGCAGGGCCACCTTAGTAAGGGTGCTTCTGAGTGGGACCTCATGTCTCTCAGAATTTGTACCTGGGCTGAAAACACGAACTATCACCTTTTGTCTACAGCTAGTAGCAGATATTTCTCTGGGAAGTAGTCATGTCATTTCCTTGGGTTTTCTGCCATGCAAGGAATTCCATTCAAAACCAGTCTGTTTACTGGTTCTAGATTAAATGAGATGCTCATATTGCTTTGAGTCTGCATCTGCATGTTTTTATTGCATGCAGAGGAAGTAGGGATGTAAAGCCTTGCTCTGTGGCTCATCACCAGTAGCACAATGCCTAAACAAGTAAACCAGTAATGTGGAACCTGTGCAAGTAATGGCCAAGTGTGCTTGCATCAGTGAACAATTGGACATTTAGTAATGCATAAATTTAAGCTGGGAAGCCTTCTTCATACCCGACTCAACTAATGGGAGTTTCCCACACAAATCATCATTGTTCTTTTGAAATCTTAGTTGTTCCTTTTGTTTTTCACAATGGGAAATTACTCATATGAATGAAATCCAGCAATTAATGATGAGACAAAGATTTGGCTTTCTGTCAAGCAGGCACAACTACATTTTGGTTGTGTACACATTTAAAATGTTTCAAAAAAGAAGTGTCTTTGGGAGGATCAACATTACAATATTATGTATAAAATCATTTACTTGATAAACTTGTGCCATCCAGCAAAAGAAATAGTTGCAGTTCAACAAGCACAGGGGGAAATATATTGTTAGTTATTTAATTATTAGTATCTAACTATTAATGTTCTTAGTTCATATATGTGTGTATATTTACATTATATCTATACACCTATTTGCATATATTCTGAATTTTAAAAGGCCATTTTGCAGTTTACTTCATCTGAATCACTTTGTTCGTTTAGAAAAGTGCAGAATTTCAGCAATTTTCCTTCCCCCTCCCCTCCCCTTCCCTCTGCTTTCCTCCCCTTCCTTCCCCTTCTCTCCCTTTCCCTTCCCTTGTGCTTTTTTCAGTTCTGTCTTATTCCAGAAAACAAGAATTATACCTTTACATACAGACACATTTCTTATTACAAATGAAAAACAATGAATACAGATTGAGTCTTCCCTTTTTTTTTTCTTACCATATAAACCATTTTTCCTTTTGTAGGGGATTTCATAGCAATAATATCAAGTCAATACCTGAGCGTGCATTTGTGGGTAATCCATCACTTATTACTATGTAAGTGATAAGAATCTTTTCAATGACTCCTTGTATTAGAGAATGTGAAACTAAGTATTGTATTTGTGGTTAATTGTCAAATAGCTTTTCTTGTGAGTACACTATGTAGCACATCATCATACAGGCAAGCAAGCTCATATCTTTCCAAATTCATGGAAAGAATGGCAGTTTGCATGCCCTGTTTAAGGGAAGCAAGTAGTGGTCTCTGGCCTTTGACCTTTTATTTGAACTGTTTCTTCTAAGTCTCTCAGCACTACTGGTAATGCAGAAGCTAGTGAAAACTACTCTTGATGTATTCCAGTCTGAGTTCCCATTCTCTTACATGAAAGTGCACTTAATGGTCAAACTTAAAAATAAGAAACTGCGAAATAAATGTAAGAAAAATAACAACTCATCTTGAGTAATATTCTGTCTGCAAAAGCAGCATGACTACAGAAGGGCAAGGGAACCTCTCCTGAGTAGGTGAAGTTCTGACTTTTTCACGTCTCAGGTCATAACAAAGTTCTTCATATGTGGATTTCTGTCTTTGCAAACCTGGAAGGAAGAGAGAATATTTTGTTGACTGTCTTCTGGCTTTAAAACCAGGAAAACAGCTACTACTTGAATATTAAAAATGTGGAATGTGATTGATGAATACAGATTAGAGGGTGAGAAAAGTTCAAAGATTCACCTCTGCTACAACCAGAGCTGCACAGTACGTGATTCATCATGGAAAGTTTATTTGTTTTCTTATAGTATAAACACATATTTAAAATATTTTAAAATATTTTTCATTAAATGTCTTTTATCGTCTTTTTTCAGACATTTTTATGATAACCCTATCCAACTTGTTGGAAAATCTGCTTTTCAACACTTACCAGAACTCAGAACTCTGTATGTGTTTACTTTTTATTTTAATTGTCTTTATATATTGGAATGTGAGAGTTGTCCCACACTTCCCTTACCGTGATTTTATTGACATTATTTTTTGAAATTCTAGGGCTTTAAATGGTGCTTCACAGTTAACAGAGTTTCCTGATCTGACAGGGACTACAAGTCTGGAGAGTTTGTAAGTGTTAGAGAAGTATTTTTGCTTTGTTTTATTATCTTGGATACTGCCTTGTTGTAAAGAATATCCTAAAAAAAATTCCTGTTTTTCATACTTTAAAAAGTAATTTTTTTTTCATAAATTCTTTCAATAGGACACTCACAGGAGCACAGATCACCTCTCTCCCCAGATCAGCTTGTGACCAGTTACCTAATCTCCAAGTGCTGTACGTTTCAGTAACATTATTAACATTCCATTAATACAAGAGATTAATAGACAAATGAAATTATTATGATTTCAAAATTACGCAATTACTGCTATTTCTGTGTATCACATTACGTCTTAGGAATTCAGCTCAGGGAGCAGGCCCCAGTGTTACTCAAAAAGTTTACAACCGGCTTATCAGCCAGGATTTCCCATACATTGCTAAGAAAGACAATTACTTAGTATATTTTTAGGAAAAGGTAAAATGGTTCTTGATTTTGTTTAAAAAAAACACAGGCCTACCTTATTTTTATTCATTCTTTCTCTCCTACAGTAGTTTGAGATTTTTTTCTTACTAAGGCAGATATTTCAGTGAAGTGAATTAGAGTGGGTGAGGGGTGTAGTTTTGAGTCCTTGTTATGCTCCTGTTTTAGCGTCTTTCTCAACCAGACATAAGTAGCTGACTGAAATTTTAACAGACTATTCCTTGGCATAGTTGGGGTATATTTGATATACTAAATATCCAGTATTATTTTAGCTTGCAGACTTCCTTGGAGTGTGCTTAATCACTAATGAAAGTAATCATTGTGCCCACTTCTTTGAGAATGAGCCAAGAACACTTTCCTCCATCTATTACATCACTAGGAATGTATTTGGTATTAATTCTTTGGCCAAAATTGAAATAGGACTAATTATAATGCATTATTTGAATACCAGAGTGGATGTCAAGATCATTTCCAGAAAAAAATTAAGTTAATGGACTCAATATAATCATTTCCAGAATGATAAAAGAAACAGGTCTGTTGCCAGAAGAAACTGCACACAGACTTAAGTTGAAATATGTCCTGTATTACTCAAAAACAATAAATTATCTCAAAACAGAAGGCAACAAATACTACAGCAATTAATAACTTGTACAATTCATAGTAGAGTAGGACTGTCCATTGGAAATTCACACTTACTATTTTTGAGTATCACCCTATATTATTAGAGCTGATACTTAAAAGACTGGGGAACCAATTTAGCATCAGTTTCAAGTACTCAAGACTTGCTCTGACCCCATTCCTGTGAGCTGGAAATGAGCCTGTGAAGTCCTCCCTTTGGTTTGCACATTAGTTTTGCCTGTTCCATGAAATGTACTGGTGCCCTGAACACCATGAGTGACTTGGAGACCACGCCCTTGGAGGGGCTCCCTGTCTCAGATACACTCAAACATTACAAGCACACACGCTGCTTTGAAAGGCAAGTGGTGCATCCTGTCTAGCCACCAATACTTCCAAGTGTGGATTAATGTAGAGCAGAGGCTTCCTGGGTGTCTGCACACCTGCAGTAAAGGTGTACCTGAGAACACAATCACAGCAGTCCTTGAAAGACTGCCCTCAGCATGGTTGTGGTGCACATCAATGTGGGAAACGAAACCACTTGCCCTCTGCTGCTTCCAAGAACCTCATATATTAAGAAAGTGGGAAAAAAGACCTTAAAAATAAACAAGTAAAATATTTCTTGGAGCACTGACAGAAACTGAGAAGGGTCTCAAGTCTGATTTGGAGCTTTTTTCTGTGTGTGAGGAGGGAGTGTCAGTATGTACAAAATTCAAGCTATTAACATATTTTTGAGAGGACCTACGTCACAAATCTATGCATGACGAAATAGCCACTGTCTGCCAGACATAGAAAACATCCTTTACCTTGGCCTAAAAGCCTCAAGCTCATTGAATACCCTCCTGTAATGTCTGATTTGGACCACAGAGTACCTGTAAAAAATAGAAAAACAGAGGCTATAATCTTACTTGCGGGAACAAAAAAAAAAAAAACCCAAAACCCAAAGATATTAATGTTTGCCTTTGTACATATTAAAATCAGAGTAGAATACCTTAAAGACACACACTGTCATTACTTGCACTACTTCCACAAATCAAATATAAAATAGTCTAAATGCCACTGTTGGAAAAATAACAGTGAAAATACAATTTTGCCAGGGAAGCAAATAGGTGGAGATGAACCAGTTTTAAGGAATTTGAGAAGCAAGAAGAATTTCACAGAAGTGAAAAGTGATTACTCTTTCATGTGATAATACTGCATAACTGTGGAAAAGGATATTTTTCATAATTATAGGCTTAAGGTTTTTTCCTCTATTCTTTTCACAAGTGTATTTCCCATTCAGCTTTCCCTGAGCAACACACAAACACACACATCTACCTATCTATCTATCTGTCTATCTGTCTGTGTAGGATGAGACTCTTGGGTGATGGGGACTGGTATTTGGTTCCTTTTTTTTTCCTCTAGTTTCTTCAAATCGCCTGGGCTTGGTTTTGATTAGTTATATTACACTATAAATCAGTCCAGATGTTTCAGTTATTCTGTAATTTGTTGAGTTTTGGCTCAAGTCTTTTTAAGGTGTTTTTTTTCCCCCATGTGGTGATTGATTTCAAAGTTAGTTCCAATTTTTTTTGACCATTTCCCTCAGTTATAAGTTACAGCAGTCTTAACGATCAGAGGCAATAGTGCTTAATTAAAAGCATAGAATGGAAAGCTGATTCTGATTCTTATCAGAAAAATACAGGATCTTCTCTAAAAAATACATGAGTATATATATATTTAGCAGATTACTTTAAATGGTTTAAATATCAGAATTTAAACTTGATAAATATGACGTCTGTGATATAAATCCCGTATTCCCTATGAGTAGATGGCCAATATTGTTACTGTAAAATACTCAGCAGAAATCTATACTTCAGGCAGGAAATCTTCAGACAATGCAAGGAATTTGCAAATATAAGATATGGAGTTAATATATCTTGCCTTTCCCCCTCCTCTCTCAAATTAGAAATCAAAATCTGACAAATGAGAGATAAGTGAGTTTGTAGACTCTTATTCTTCTGTGGATAAAACCAAGTTATTTTAAATTGAGCATGAAAGTAGATCATGAAAGCTATTTTTCTTCTAACATTACTTTGATATTATTCTGTTCATTTCTTGTAAAATACAGGGATCTGTCTTATAACCTGCTGGAAGATTTACCCTGTTTTACTGCATGTAAAAAACTCCAAAAAATGTAAGTGTCAAACTACCCTAAAAAGTTTAAAAAGAAGCATCTATGTGTGTTTGAGCATAATTAACTTAGTTATTGCTGGCTGATTTGACACACCCCAGATACACTATATTGATGTGGATCGTAAACACAATCTAAAACACCCCAAAGTGCCCTACAAGTGTCTTTGAAACTGAGGAGATTCTTATTGCTTTTTCAGTGACTTGCATCACAATGAAATTGGTGAAATCAAAGCAGACACATTTCGGCAGCTGGCTGCTCTTCGATCTCTGTGAGTACTCCCCCAACAGACATTCACACAGTTCTCAAAAACACGGGGAATATACTGTCTGTCCATTAGGTATCCTGAAAGATCCTTATTTCAGTTTTTCCACACTTTGACCTTTCACCCATTAGATCATAACTGTGAAAGGAGAACAAACATGATGAAGTTTAACATCTGCAGCAATTAATTAAAATACACACATCTGTATATTGTAGCTATATTATTATAGCTGTAAAAACTGTTACTTTTAAATGTTTCTGTTGGAGGTAGAGAGAGATACCAAGCTAAAGATGGTATCTGTTGACAGGTTCACATTATAATCAGCTCTAGGGAGCATGAAGTCCTTTTTAGAGAACAGTGTCTTAATACATAGAGTCCAGTCATATGCAGGTTTCTAGTTTTCACACAGACATATGTGCTAGCAGAGTAATTTTGTCAAGAAATTAATCATGGTTATAAGTTTTTTCAGAATTGAATGCATACTTTTTTTAAGAGTTGCTTTTAGTCTTTTTGATTTTTCAGGGGCAGTGAAAATTGAGCTTAGGAAGGAAGGCCTACTGACCATGGATTTGCTGTTCTTAGTCATATCATGAGAACATCTTAGAAGACTTAGTCCATATAAACCACCCTTCTTTTCTGCTGCCTTAGGAGGCTGTGAAGCAGACTGAAAAGCCTTAGACTGGAAGGCATTAAGATATTTTAAGAACACTGTCAGTTTAACAACTAACACCACAACTGACTAACAACTTAAAAATGAAAAAAACATTTTGCACTATGAGATATGCAGAAACTTACTGAAAATATTTAACTGTAATTAATACCTTTTTTATATTTAAGCATCCTAATCAAGTGTTTGAAAACTTCCATAATCATTCAGTGGGTATGTCATTTTCTACTCACTTTTCTTGTAGGGATTTGGCTTGGAACAAAATTAAAATTATTCACCCCAATGCCTTCTCCTCTTTACCATCTCTGATCAAACTGTAAGTATTTGTATATCTTTTGCATTCAGATTTTTGCATTTTTCTTGCAAGAGCATACAAAAATATAATAGCTTGGTGCCCCAGCAGAAATGGAGGCTTTTTTTGTTCTGATCATCTGGTCTGTTGAATCAATATCTAAATGTCTGCTTTCTTGTACTTCACCAGTTCCCATAGATATTATGGCAAAGCTGCATACAACCCTGTGTCATCAGCATGATTTGGGGTCCATGAAGATTATCAGTGCATCTACCTTTCTTCATTCAGTTTGTTAGCAGTTTAGTTTGTTGTAGGAGTGGGGAATATTTCCTGTTAGTTATGTTTCAAGACTGAAGAATTGGATTAAAAATTAAATAAGAAACTTTTTTCAGTGTACACTTTTATTTCTTTGTTCCTCATTTGACAAAACAGTTTCTCTTCTTTAGTGAGTTCAGGCAGAGCAGTTAGTGGTCAAAACATCAGCAACTAGTGTTCATCGACACTGTCTTCCCTCAGCTACTCAGACAAACCTCAGCTTGGAAATGTCATCTTCGTCTGCTCCAGCCCAGACCTGTCCTACCCTGAAACTTACATCTTCCCCATAAACTTCACCTCCTCCTTATGGAGCTTTCAGGGCAGCCATGCCCTCTGTCATTCCACTGAATCTTCTAAACTGTGGGAAGCTGTTCTGGCACTGGCTCCTTTGAATTCAGACAGTCTAATGAACAGATTTTAAATTCATTTGCTAGTCTCAAAACTGGCACTGTGAACATTTGGAGTCAAAATTTGGCAACAGAGACCCAACTAACTGCTAGATATTACTGTTAGCTTTCTGCTGGATATATAGTTGTGTGCTCCTGAGCCATGCTGTAACTTTGTTCTGCTGACTGGGGCCTCTGTTTAATGCGGGCATTTTTATTGAGTTAGAAAAGTTTAACCTGTTTTTCCAATGTGACACTTCTGCTGCTGAAGAAAAAAATGAAAACCATAAGCTGATTTTTATTTGCTGTTATGCAGGGATGTGTCATCCAACCTTTTGTCCTCTTTTCCTGTGACGGGGCTACATGGTTTAACTCATTTAAAATTAACAGGAAATCATGCCCTACAAAGTTTGATAACATCTGAAAATTTTCCAGAACTCAAGTGAGTATATGATTAAAACTAATAAGCCACATTTGTGTTCATGTGCAATGGAAGGTGTGTCAGTGTGTAATGCATGTTACTTCGTATTGCCAGTCTTTGATCTGTGCCATTAAAACTAAAGCAAATATGATAAAAATGATAGACTTATTTTATTATGCTCACTTATAACTGAAGAAACTGTGAAGGGTTTTGAAATATTAACCTCAATACTTGCTTAGTACGAGCCACATCTGCTTCCTGTTGATATGTTTCAAAAGCTGTTAAAACAATATCTCTGGCAGCTTAGTGATATGTCCTTCTTCTACTGAACTGTGCTTGCAGAACTTCCATTTTATTTAATGAGAACTCAGAAAATACAAGGGAAGAATATACTCGTGAAAGTCCAGAAGATTTTACTGGTTTGAAAATGATTTTTCTGTAATCTTTTGATTAAGATTCAGATAATACTTTGCCATTATTACTAACACACTTTGATACTAATAATTTCTGCTGGGTCCTCTGTGATACAGGAAGGAAGTGTCCTCTAAAGATCATTTGCAGCTCTGCCAGCCACTAGATGATCGTGCCCTGTATGGGTATTGAACCTATGACCTTGGCTTTATTAGCACCGTGCTCTAACCAACTGAATTAATTTCAGGGTCACAGCAAAGAGAGTTTTCTCTCTGAATTCAGGGTATTTGGAAGTGTCTAACTCTCCCTTCATTTTTATATTTTAATTAGAGGATGCCAAGTGCAACATACATTTTATCATGTTGTACTGTAAGAAGCTCAGTATCATAAAATATGAAACAGCTGAACAGTGTGCACATAGTTACAGAATCACAGAGTGGTTGAGGTTGGAAGGGACCTTTAGAGGCCATCTTGTCCAACCACTTGCTAAGGCAGGGTCACCTGGAGCCACTTGCCCAGGACCATGTCCAGACAGCTTCTGAGTATCTCCAAAGATGGATGCTCCATCCTTATGTCTTCATTAGGTTTGCCTTTTGCACTGGAGAAGTCCCAAGAGTCTTAGCAGGCAAACAGCTGAAGACGTTACCACTAATGAAGAAGACTGGAGTGTTTGGAGTTATCAATAAGGGAGTCATGAATAGAAGTGTGGAGCTGATTAAGCCTCTGTATTCCGCACTGGAGGAATCCACCCTAGAACACTTCTATGATGACATGTTAATATGAACTGAGATAAGAGCTGCAAAAAATGTTTCCGAGGTTAGGAAGTAATGCCTTAAAAGTCTTAATAAACCCAAAACTTGTAGTTTGTCACAGAGGAGATCGGGTACTGACTTCATCACAGTGCATGAAACCGCTTCATAACATTAACATTCTAGAGGCCTTACGTCTCTCTTACACTAGGGATCTTGAGATGGGTCCAACAGGTCAAGAGGCTAGTACCGTAAGATATCATGAATGGTTGAGGCTGAGCTTATACCATGCTTTTTCTTCTCTCACAGACTTTACCCAGAAATTGAGGCAGGTGACAATTCTAAAATAATTGAAGTTTCTTCAAGAGAATGTGAACACAAGAAAATGCATTACTCCAACCTGCCAAGTATATAGTGATGTATATACCATAACCTAGAGCTATAAGAGATGCTGCAGTAGTCCTAGAATAATCCATTATTCAACTGAATTAACTATTTTTTTAAATTCTTTTCTCAAAAATATACTTTATATGATTTTTCCATTGCTAAAATTGTGAACATTGCTCAAATGAAAGTACAGTGCATTTAGTCTGGGTAAATTGTTAAAAAGTATGTGTCCAACTAACTTAAGTCTTAAAAAAAGTATTCAAAGTATGATTAATATATCTAGAGTTGATTAACATCTGTAAACAAATTATATCCAATCAGGAGAGAATAGGGTAAACTCCTGACCTACAGTCTGCATGACTTTTACCATAATTCGAAAGAAAATCAAGACTTCACAGAGGATCACTGCACAGATAATGCATGGAGCACCAAACCTGAACAGAGATCTAAAACAAAATTATATTTTTTCCTTCGTAATTGTTGTAACTAGACAGTGGTTACAACATTAAAGACGAATTCCTGTATAAAAACTTCCTACTCATCTAAATTGATCAATACAGACACATGAAAGAGCTGAGCATCCTCTTCCCCATTTTCATCAATAGCACTAGTACACCCTACAGAGCTGAGCCCAGCCTATTATGACAAGCCTTGAGGAAGCAGTCACGCTGCCAGCCACTCCTTCCTTCTTGATCTGATGCTTTGATTCAGCGCTGTAAAGAACTCAGTGCTTTGCTCCATTCATCATAACTGTGCCTTCCTGTTCACCATCAACCCCACACCTGTCTGAGGTAGAAAACAACCTTGTGTCCTCTGCTGCTTAATCTAAAAAGAGAAAAAAAAAGAGGCATTCCTTGCTAGAGGCAAAGAAATTATCAAGAATGCCGATATCACTAATAAGATAAGCAGTATATAAAAATAAATTCAGCCAGTGTTTCTAAAAGAGTTTAATTTGACAAAGTCCAAATCTAATTACCCACATCAAATAAGCACTAGCTTATCTGGACTGCTTCCAGTACTGTACACCTCTGAGAGTTCTGAGAGTTCCTTCCTTTTTTTTCTTTTTTTTTAATGTACCTTTTGCAAGAAAGAACTGATACCCATTTCCCTGCATTGCAAAGTATGTTTTGTCCTCTGTGTTCTGGGTCGCAGCCATTGTGTGCAATTATACTTTGCACGTAGATTCAGCAGCATTTGCTAATTTGAGGATTATATGTGTATCTTAGTAACACAGAGGGAGAAAAACAAACAAACAAACTAAAACTGTTCAGTTTAAGAAAGTATGCTAGAAATACCTACAGAGAGAATAAGAGTGGGAGTCTTGCTCTATAAAGATCATTTAAAAGCCGTGGATGTTTTTGGCTGCATCATCAAAGTAGTCGACCAGTACAATGTGAGAGGTCTGCATTTCCAGGGTATGACAGGCCAGCAGGCAAGTAGAAGCACAACAGCATCTGGAAATCTGTAATTATTAAGTACATAGAGCTGCTTGAATAACCAGAGAATACATTTCTCTTAGTCCCTTGAGCCTAAAATATCCACTAACTGTTCATTCCCGTAACTACATCAATGTCTTCCAAAAGGTCTGAAGGCACAAGTTGCAGACATCACTTCACAGAACTGTCAGTGTTTCTTTTGATAAATTTTTTTTTTGTTCCAAAAAAGGGCATTTCTTGTTGGGGGTTGGGATTGTTTTTATCCCAAATGATTAGCTATGGGTTAGTCTAGTAATCTATGGGTATAATAATAGGTTATTTAAGAAGGGCTTCTGGGAAAAGTGTTCAAAAATGTTTAATCAAGATAATCTCCTTATTTTAAAATATGGCATGTGGACAAGAATGAGTTAAAATGAAGAATTTAAATCTGCTGGCATGAGGTTGCTTCATAGTTAGATCTTGGTTATCTTGAACTTTTATTGAGTACCCTAAAAATTTTGTCTTGGGTACAAGGGTACAGATTATTCTGGTTAATTCCCATCAGAAATGTAAGTATATTAGAATCTAAATGCCCCAAATTGAACTAATTAAAAAATCACTTTGGGGCTCAAGGTTCTGTTTGTTCTCCTTTGTACCTGCTTTTGGCTAGTGCACAAGTTTAAGTCCTTTTGGCACTGGGCCTGATTCAGCCTGATTTCTTTGCAGATTTCCTAGGGGTTAGAGGTTGCTTATTACACTCATTATGTTAATTTACACGATTAACCCCTTGAAAGTAATCTGATAGGAGGATCTAATTCTACTTTATTCCTTTTAAATCAAGTCAGAATAGCTTCTAATCACCTATTTATCTTTGAATTTTTTGGTTTATTGGGCTTTCAGGATTAAGGTGAGTTGCTAGGTTTTACTATGTGCTATTGGCAAACTGTGCAAATTAAATAGCTCTGCTTCCAAAGCATAAAATATATCTACAGAATTGAAGAAGTAGTCTATAGAACTCAGATATATGTAATTCTCCTGTGCTACCCCAGAATTTGCACATCCCCAAAGGAATTAAATTCACAGCATACTAGAAATGTGCAATTTTCTGACAAAAGAAACCCTCATAATCATTGGAACTCACTGACATATATATTCAGTTATGTGTTAGGAATACTAATGATCTTAAGAGTTATAAATGAGCATCCAGTGTCCTTCAAGAGCTGTGCTCACTTCTAAGACAATTAATAAAGTAAAACCTTTCTCTCAGTGATATATTTTCACACACAGTACGAAATTCTGATTCACTCACCTTTTGGTTTGGAACACTGCTGTCTTGATCTGTGCACAAGACACAATCTCCTTTTTGCCATCTTACTGTGAAAAGGGTTGGATATGGAAAGACATGAATAAAGCTTGAATTCCAAAAGAACTCGTTCTCCCAAAATTGGAGAAATTCCATTTTGGAAGTTTTTTGATTTTGCTTGTTAGGCTAGTAGATCAATTGGGATCTTTGCATCTGCTTTTTTTAAAAGAAACCATTAAGAAAGTAACTGTTAGAGAAACTGTTGAGTTACACAGTAAAATCATTAAAAATCATAAAATAGAAATATAAGTAATATTCGCTCAGTGGCAAGGCATAGATCTCCCACTTTCATGTCTCCTATGAAAACACATGAAAAAACTTCATTGTTGCTTTACTAAAATTAGCCTAGAAATCATCTGCATTTCTGAAGTGGAATTTGATATGCAAGTCGTTATTTTGTATTATCATGACTGATTTTTACTCAGATGTTTTTACTTTCAGTCCTGGATATTTAAACGATTTCCTTTGTGCTGATGGTAAAGGAGCAGTACAATCCAATAATTCTAGTGTTAAAGCAGTATCATGGCATGCTTCCTTATTCTTCTACAGGGTCATGGAAATGCCTTATGCTTATCAGTGCTGTGCCTTTGGAGCTTGTGAGAGCCACTACAAAATCTCCAGCCAATGGAACAAAGATGAGAATAGCAGCATTGATGATTTTCACAGGAAGGATGCTGGGCTGTTACAAATTCAAGGTAACCATCATCTTAGGCTTTTAAATCTACCTGCGGGCTGCAAGCAACCTGTGATGTTAAATCCAGTACTCTTTACAGTCACAGAGGCTCGCCCTCTCTCTTGCCCAATAATGTCTTATTAAAGCATTCCTATGCTTAACAAACTCATTATTTTAGGTCTGCCGTTCAAAAATCTCACTCCCTCACCTTTTTGTCCAAACAGTAGCTATATTAATGTGGGAAATGAAATCTTCCCTTTATATTAGAGACAGGGAAGTGCAGCTAGTATGTAACTCCATACAGGAACAGGCTAGCAAAGATGTAGCTTCTTGCCAGCCTCAGAAGTAGCAACACATACTTCGCTTACCCACATGCTTCAGGGTGATTTACAGCTTAAGTGGCTACTTTGGCATGCTTTTTCCTAGAATCATAGAATATGCTGAGTTGGAAAGGACACGTTATGATCATTGAGTCTGACTCCTTGCCCTGCACAGGACACCCCAAGAATCACACTGTATGCCTGAGAGCATTGTCCAAATGCTTCTTGAACTCAGACAGGGTTGGTGCTGTGACCAGTTCCCTGGGGAACCTGTTCCAGTGTCCAGCCACCTTTTTGGTGAAAAACCTTTTCCTGATATCTTACCTAAACCTCCCCTGAACTCAGCTTCATGTCATTTCCTCGAGTCCTGTCACTGGTCATGAGAGTGATCAGTTCGTGCCCCCTCTGCCTCCCCTCAGGAGTATATTGAAGACCACAGTGAGTTCTCTCCTCAGTCTCCTCTTCTCCAGGCTGAACAGACCAAGTGACCTCAGCCACTCTTCATACGGCTTCCCCTCCAGACACTTCACCATCCTCATTGCCCTCCTTTGGACACTCTCTTAGCAGCTTAATATCTTTCTTCTGTTGTGGCTCCCAAAACTGCACACAGTATTCAAGGTGAGGCTGCACCAGTGCAGAGCAGAGCAGGGCAATCCCCTCCCTTGACCAGCTAGTGATGCTTTGCCTGATGCCCCCCAGGACACAGTTGGCCCTCCTGGCTGCCAGGGCACTGCTGACTCATGTTCAACTTGCCATCGACCAGGACCCCCAGGTCCCTTTCTGCAGCACTGATTTCCAGCCTCTCGTTCCTCAGTCTGTACATACATTTAGGGTTGCCAGAGAGTGTAGTTGCTCTCCAAGACACAAGACTACTATACTTCTCTTCCCCTTTAGCACAAGGTCTGTTACTTGACAGGTTGTCTGTTACGTAGGTGCACAGATTTGCTTTCTGCGCTGTCTCTGGCCCTGCAAACCAGTAAGTCTCAGAGTTTAGCAAGAACAGAAGCATTAGAGAGAATATGTGCTAGAGTGATGACATAGGAAGCACAGAAAACTTGATTGATTCTTAGTAGCCTGACACAATAGCAGAATTTGTATTTTAAACTCCTTCCTAGGCAGTCATCACACTGCAAAGTAGGTTAAAGAGAATGTGTCTTTTAGTGATTATTTTCAGAGAAGTAATGATGCCTACTTTTTAAATAATCCCAAGCGCAGTAATTCAAAACCAAGTAGGCATACGTCTGCTTCTGCTCACAGTTTGGCAGGCAAAGGGACAAGACCAGGCCTTAAATGCCATGGGAATTTTCGCAATTTTTACTAAAAGAAGTTTTCCTGAAAATTGCAGTAACAAATCTGGGTCTTTTCTCCCCTATAGATGAACGTGATTTTGAGGATTTTTTTCTTGACTTTGAAGAAGATTTGAAATCTCATCATTCAGTGCAATGCTCACCTTCTCCAGGTATGAAACTGTCAGGCAGATGGGAATCCAAGGACAGTGTTATCAGATATTCTAAATGCAGAACAAATTCAGAATCTGATACTAGGACAACAACATGACATTGTGCAGTAATTTGATGAGTTTAATACAAATACATTGCACAATAATATAAAATTTTGCATTAAACTCCAGAAAACTATTCAGCTACTAAATTCATCTATGAGTGTAACAAAAGCTTTACCCAGTCATCAAACAGATACTTACTCTGGGCCCCTTTTCACCAGAATTGATCCCCATATCAAGGGAATGGGAAAGGAAAGACTCTTCCACTAAGAAACAGATGAGAAAGGCAACAGAATCTTTGCTCACTCAGCCTTTTGTAAAGCTAAAGTAATTCTCCTGAACTTCATTGACTTATTTTACATGTGAGCAACTTGAACAACATACAGTTTAGTTCATTGTCTAGGAAATACCAAGCACTACTGCATCGATGTACACAATCCCTCAGGAAGGACACCCAGCACTGTCATTTTCTTTATAAAATAGTACATCCCTGGATTCAAAGTGTAACAGAAAGGAAAAAGAAATATACCAATGGAATAGCAAAGCTACTGGCCACCAATTCCACTGGAAGTTTCATTTAAGGAAAGGAAAGAAACATGCCTTTGGAACATCACTTCTAGCTGTAGCAGCCATGGTCATAAGTTTTGCTTGCTTGATTCAGCAAATGTTTTCCCTAGCCATTCTTTGATTATGAAACATGAACGGAAAAACAAAAGCAAGCGACAACTTGTACTTCAGCATTCATTTCAAGCCAAGATTCTTATTTGCAACAGCAAATAATAGTAAATTTTTTGAAGTTACATAAAGAGGAATAGAAAAGGTAGGAAGCCAAAGGATAGGGACATTTGACTGGCACATATTCTCTGATGGCCTAAATATAACTCCTGAGTTCGTGAAAACATTGCTGTCTTCGAGGTGAGTTATCACCAGACCCAAAAGTTTAGCTTTGATCTTTCAAACAGTAACTTAAAAACTGACACAATAGATCCTTATGCTTGATGGCAACAGCCATAGTCATATGGAGCACATTTCAGCTGCGGCATTTTAAGTCTTCATGGAAAAGCACAGACCACTGTGAAGGACTTTCTTTGGTCACTTGTACGGAGATAAGTAATGTCTCTCAGACTGCAGAGCATTCAGCTTCAACTGCACAGCATATGCACCTCAATTCTATGAGAATATACAGCAGGCTTCAGCCATAATGACCTGACTTTAGCTACAGGATATCCAAAAAGGCAGCACTTCCAAATGCAAAGAGAGCCTCAATTTTCTTGGATTGTGTAATGACGTGTTGTAAGGTAGTCAGCGTGCATCAGTCCATATCCATTACATTGCACTTCACTAAAGACTCATTAGCAACCTGGCCTAATATAGTGAGAATGTTTTTAGCTTTTTTCACACACTGGCAAATATCACAGCATTTCTTGAAACCACAAAATTGACATTCACATTGCATTTGTACTGCTAGGCACAAAAAGAAACCCATAGACTATTCATGTTGAAGGACAAAGATTCATGTGCACCAGTAATGCAACATGCAGTGCACATTTAGCAGCACGTTATCAAGGTCTCAGATTACTCCAAAGGAAGAGCAAATTTCCAGCTCCCCTTTTGGAATTAAAATTCGCTGCTCGGCTATGCTGAGAATCTGCAAGAAGCATGAACTTCAATGTCTTAGAAAGCACAAAAATTTTTAGTTAACATGGGTTTTCCTTATCCTTTTTATTTTGTCATTTCAGGTCCCTTTAAACCCTGTGACCATCTGTTTGGTAGCTGGTTAATTAGAATTGGAGTGTGGACTATAGTGGGTTTGACCTTAATTTGCAATGCACTGGTGTCTGCTACCGTTTTCGGATCTCCATTGGATATGTCCTCCATAAAACTTTTGATTGGTTTAATAGCTGTTGTAAATGCCTTGATGGGTCTGGCCAGTGGAGTACTGGCTAGCGTGGATGCATCAACTTTTGGTAGCTTTGCTCAGTATGGAGCACAGTGGGAAAGTGGAATTGGTTGCCAAATAACTGGCCTTCTCTCCATTTTTGCTTCGGAGGCTTCCATTTTGCTCCTTACCCTAGCTGCACTTGAACGTGCATTCTCTTTAAAGCATGCTGCAAAGTTTGAAACAAAATCCTCCATTGCTAGTGCAAAAATTGGCATTTTCTTTTGCTTTATGTTGGCACTAATCATTGCAGTGATACCATTTCTCACTGGAACTGAGTATGGGATTTCTCCGCTTTGTTTACCACTACCGTTTGGAGAATCCACTGCTATGGGCTACATGGTAGCACTGGTATTACTGAACTCCCTTTGTTTTCTGGTAATGACTATTGCTTATACAAAGCTCTATTGTAGTTTAGAAAAGGGTGAACTAGACAACATTTGGGATTGCTCTATGGTCAAACATGTAGCCTTGCTACTTTTTACTAATTGCATTCTTTATTGCCCTGTGGCCTTTTTATCTTTTTCCTCCTTACTAAACCTCACGTTTATCAGCCCAGAAGTGATTAAGTCAATACTTCTAGTGATTGTCCCGCTGCCAGCATGTCTAAACCCACTGCTTTATATACTTTTCAATCCACACTTTAAGGAGGATTTTGGAAGTCTGCGAAAGCAAACTTTGTTATGGCGAAGATCAAAACACACTAGTCTGATCTCTGTGAATTCAGAAGACATAGAAAAACAATCTTGCGACTCAACCCAAGCATTGGTGACCTTCACAAGTGCCAGCATATCGTATGATATGCCCACCAGCAATTCATTAATGCCATCATCCTATCAAATGACAGAAGGCTGCAATCTTTCGTCAGTCGCATTCGTTCCCTGTCACTAGTTTCAGTGGCGGTACAGAAAATACTTCTGTTTACAAAATTTTTAATCCTGAAAGTAAGTGTGGATGTGTGCATACAGTCTTAGAGAGTGCTTCTGAATTTCAGTTACACACATCAGAAAACAGTGACAACACTTGTGGCAGGCTGAAAATCCAATACTTGAGCCGTCTCAGCCTGCTTCTGAAATGCTGAGATGAAGAAAGAAACTGAAAGGTGCTGAAGTTTGTGCAGTTGTATCAGCTGCTCTCTTTTAAAGTAGCACTAGTCAGAAAGGGCATCAATTGGTCAAGAGCAAAAATAGCATGTTAAATTTATAACCTTCTTTTTTCAAAGCATCACCTGATATTCTCAGGGGTTGTGTTATTTTTTTTCCTGTTTATTGCAATGTTTATAAGCATCTGTTTATGGCCTTCATTCGGTAACATACCTAAATGGAAGAGCAGTCTGTTCAAGTCCTAAAGGTTTCTGCAGAATACCCTTTGGTGAAGTTCTGTGTTTGATAAAGCTGATTAAATGGTTTAACTGGCATCAGGTTTGGATTTTGGAAGTCATCTAATTTGACAAAGCATTTTTAATTGTCAGCTAAAGGTACAAAAGGTAACACAATGTGAAAGAAGTTAATGAAAATCCTGTTAAGCATTTAAAATGTGATTTTAAATGGCAAGGCATTGTCACATGGATTTTTTCTAATGAGGTTCTGCACAGTTTCATCCTGAATTGCTACCATGCTGGTAGAATTACTCCCAGAATTACTGATGATAACATTGGCAGATGACTCATACAATTTGAGGGTGGAAAATACTACATATAAAGTCATCAATATAAAAAAATTGGCATGTTGAGAGCTATTAAAGGACACCAAAGGCACTCACATAGTGAGTTCATTTAAGGTAATTTTTCCAGGAACAAAAACTATAGACCTGCTCATGGCATGATCTCTGTCCTGTGAAACAGAAAGCTGCTAGTTCATGGTCATTGGTTAGTTGAAGGTTTAGAGGCCACTGTGACCTTTTGACTAAGGACACCCAATATCCTGAGCTAAGGCAATATCAAATAGGAGTGAAGAGGTTGTGTGGTCTGTGTTCTTAGTGCTGATGCAAGCACTCCTGGGATATTTCAGTTATTTCGTTTACGTGCTGTAAAGAACATTGTGAAATTGAAAAGGATATGAGTATCATAAACTTAAAGCAACTTAAGAAATAAGTGATTTGAGCACAGTTTATAAGTAGCTGCTTCTGGGAAACAAGTTTGAAGGCAGAGGACTACTCATTTGAGAGGAGGAGAATCTGATAAAATAAGCTGGAAATTGACATTAGGAGTATGGAGTATAGAAATAAAGGTGCAAATTGTTGACAGAGATGGTCATTAGCTAGTGAAACTGTCTGTCACCAAAAGTCTCTAAATTCAAATTGGATATATCGCCAAAAAAGATAATTGGAGCTGTTGAAATTCAGGGACTTCTGATGGTTTTAGTTTAGGAAAAGGCTAGATTGGAGTAACAGTTCTTCTCTGGCTTTAAATCTGTTATTACTTTGCTGAACCAGGGCATGTATGTTTACACATCAGAAGCATCCCAGTTAAAGAGAAGAGATGTCAGGTCCTTGCCAAGTCTGCTGTTGAAATATCTCAGACAACAGAGTCACCTAGAATATAATTCTTTGACCTTGGCCAAGCCATCGGGGGATATTCCTGTATTCTTTTTTGGGAGCTGGCACCTTTTGCTTAAATGAGCTGATCATTTAAGACAGGAAAATGCACAGGAAAATTTTTTGTTAAAAATAGCTCCCTGAGGAGTAACATTTAATAGCCCAGTACTCACTGCTCAGTTAATGGCCACTCAACCTCCAGGTGAATGGGACTAATTTTTTAACATTACCAAGGTTAGGCTAGGCCCAGTAATTAAGGTAATCAGTTACAGATGATCTCTGTTGTTCATCTGTTTCTGTATATAAAACTTCCTGGGACTCAAAGGATGGATTTTCACAATGAAGAATTTGTTGCCAGCAATGGATATGCCTTGATTTTCATGTCCATTCACACTGGCATGTTTTTAGTTCTGCAGTTACAGATGGCATCAGTTGACTTTGGCTGACGTGTTCATCCTTCAGGAAAAAAAATGAATCAATTTCAAAATTATATACGATAAAGTCAGCTGAGTACTTATCTTAATCCCTTATCTTTTGTGGCTTTCGAAGCAGCGCAGCACACAGCTGCAGAACGATGCCTGAAACCCCTTTGGATTAAACAGAGAATCAGTCAACCATTGCACAATATGTATTACTATGTTTACTTAGCTTTAATTTAACTGGGGTCCATCTGTGCTGCACTGCTTAATGTCACTGAAGTTCCTTTTAGCTTGCTGTATTTAAGAAGTTTGTAAAGAGATTTGAGAAGCAAAATAATGTTATAATTCTAAAGACTAGATAAAGAAAGCTTCTTTTATCAGAACTTTTTTAGCTTGCAGAAAGTCATAAAGGCTTTGTGTCTTATTTTTATAAGCATGTTTGAAATATTTTGATCAGATGTTTTAAACTTGAAATTGTTAAAATTCATTTAATAGATTTTTAAAGTAAAATGTGTAAATATAGAACTGTATTTATTATTACAGTGAAATGCAACAATAGTAAAGGACATGAGATTAAGCCCTGTACAGTTTCATATTGATATTTGCTATATTTTCTGCTCATATATATTACTAAATTCATTATCTGTAAATAATATAATGTAAATGTGTAGTGATTGTAAATAGGTGACATGCTTTCTTTTCTATCAGTGTTTCAAACATATGTAAGTTGTAATAAAATGTGACTACACAGTAAAGAGCATTTAATCATGACCTAACACCTCACAAAATGGTGTGCATGCTCAATTAATCCTTCCCGCGTTATTGTAATATTTACACTAAACCTCCCTAGATGTCTGAAATTCTTGACAAAGTAGAAATTATGGGTTGTGTGCTCTCATTAGTTGTCCATAGAGCAAAAAAGACAGCAACAGTGTTTTGTCTCAACACAGACTGAATCTTTTACCAAAACTTCACTCACAGACCCTTATGAACAGTTCCTGCTCTCTTTGCTTGCTTTTGTATCTCAGTGATGACCTCTCACAACTGCCACAGCTAAGACTGGTACTTCCAACTGTGGGACAAGGGTATGCACGAGGTCAGGCAATGAAGTACCCCCAAGCTTCAGACCACATGGACCACATGAGAGGTGAAGTTGAGCTGCACTGGGCTGCTGCTTCTGACGAGACAGCAAATTCTCCCACACGCTTCCTTATTTTCTCTCCACCCCATTATGTGGCAGGTCAAGTGGGTCAGGGGATTACCAAACAGCTAGCAAAGTTCATCTGATACAGGACAAAGAGGCAGTAGCACTATGAGGTATGAAGTGGATGGAGGTGCTAAGGGCAAATGAAAAGTGGGACCAGAAACATGGGACTTAGCAAGACCCAGATTGCTCAGGCTGCACTAGAACTTCCAGCTCAGTTGAATTAAAGGCAGGCAGTAGCTAATCAGTCATATCATTATCTAGGCATCAAGGACAGATGAGATAATGGATGCATTCCTGTTAGGAGAGACTGCAGCATGGGACAGTTACATGTGCTTGGTTTTTCAGAGATGGTGATTGTAGGTCATTTCTATGAAGTACTTGAAAGAAAGAGATAAAATACCAATGAAGCAAAAACTCTGAGAAAGCAATTTTTTAGTCAGGAATTCACTCCATATGGCAAATAGCAAATTACAAAGATTAAAAAAAGAAATTAAAATTATCCTAGATGTAAATGGATTCTAGCAAGGAATGTGCAGGTTCTCAGGATAGATAAGGAGGCTAGGTTGAGGAAGGTCATTTCATCCAGAAGGACCAGTGGAGAAGAAGTAATTTTGATGGGTGAGTTTCAGAATAGTCTTATTGAGGTGGGACAGGACCAGCAGTGAACAGGAATAGGAAAATCATTAATTATCTTTAGGAGATAAAAACAGAAGCATGACAAAGATTTCATAGGGGAGTGCATAACTCAGGGAGGAGAGGAGGCTTCAAGAGACAGCGTGCGTGGAGTTTTATGGGGATATTAAGAAGTTTTGTGAAGGATGAAGAGCTCAGAATGGATATAAAAAGATGGAAGCAATAGAAAACAGGCAGAAAAGATGATTTCACATGCACCTAATTTACACCACATGGTGTAAGTAATATTAGAGCCAGGGGCCATAAGGAAGAAGAATGAAAATGTGTTACTTTAGGAGGAAAATACCACAACTCGAATAAGAAGAAGGGAAGTTAAAGCCTAAGTGCAGAAGGGAAAAAGAGGAAGCAAGCAACATCTTGATATATGGAGAAAAGACTTACATACCAAATAGGAAGCAGCAGTGCCTGAAGTCACAACTTCAGTGTTCTGGCCAGTGTCCTATCGCACTTGTGTACAGGTGACTTCTCCCTTAAAGCACTTGTGCCACAGACATGTAGTGTTCTCTGCAGTAACAATTGAAAGAGAGTTTATTGCAGGCTTGTGCAACAGGTTATTTAGGAAGAGCAGACAGACCGTGCCATCTGCTCACTGCTCTAGTTCACTAGATACGTTACTGAGTTTTATTTGGGAACTCAGTCCTCAGAGAAGTTTCAGGTGGCCTGAAAAAGAAAAAAGAGCTAGTCAGAGATACAGTGAAAGTCATAAAGAGGGTGGGATCACCTGTAAGAATAATGGATAGGGATGAAGGCCAAGCCTTAGCACACACTAGCAGAGAAGGACAGAGAATGGTGCCGCACAAGCAGTGCTGCCAGGTGGGCATGCAGCTTCAGACTCCACTCCCAAAAGAGGGGAGAACATGCCTGATTAATCTGGTGATCATACTTGATCTGAAATGGAGACCAACCACTTGCACAGTCCTTGCTGTTCCTGCTGCTCCAGGTTTGCTTCCTGCCTTAGTGACCTACATGCACTAGACAGCAAGAAGGCTGCTGCAATACAAAGTATCAAGCTACCTCCTATCCATATTTTCTGTAATAGGAATTTCAGCTTAACTGGGGCACCACTTATTTCCTCTTATTGTTACATGAAACGCTGGAACAACAATATCATAATCAGAATTTCCCTGTCTTCAGTTTAGTTTGCTTTATGAAAATTAAGGTGCTGAAAGTTTCATTGATCAACCACTTAAGAAAGGCTCAAATCATTAAAAATGTAGCAGAATTAATGTTTTCCTTCAGGAAAGCACTGGAAGCAAGGAAGTGGAGACAGAAGAATAAGGATATGGATATGGGAAAGCTAACAAAAAATGGAATTAGGATCACAACAGCAGCAACAACAGTGTTAGAAAATCCTTTCCAGATCCATAAAGAACAGTAATTGTGAAGATGCTCAGGTACTGCGGGATAACACACCTTGAAGTTAAGCCTAGGAAATTGATTCAGTGCTCTATCTGTCTTTGCTTGAACAGAATCCCAACTACATGTGATAAGAAATTTTAAAGAAAAATGCAAATTTACCCATGCTAGTAAATAAAGCAAAAGGGATTCCATGTGTTATGCCTAACCCTTGTAAGCATACTGGAAAGAAAAGGCAGTATCAACATTGAGAACATCTTGTTCATATAATGAGAATCACAGACTTGTGCTCCAGTGACTCTAGAGACTTAGGAAATATGAGTATGTTCTCTCCATAAAACAATTTGTTGTGGCATTGTCAAAATTATCTGAAGATCCAGTCTCAGTCATAGGAAAAAACAAACATTAAGAATATTCCTCTTGAGAGCTGGCCCACAGCCAGGATTTCTAAAAACCTCAGTCACAGACAAAGAGTCCGCTCAAAATCCCTATCTAATCTTTTCACAGGTGGCAAAATTTTCCACTTGTCAAGCAAAAAATACGCTTCATTAACAAGGGAAAAACTGTCCATCTGTGAATCTAAAGACTTCCATTAAGTATTATGCATGCACATATCAGAGTCTTCTGCAGCCGGCCTGGAAAGTCTCAGGACTCCAAAACTAATTCTTGAAGGAAGTTTCAAACATCTCCTTTTTCATGTGGTGTCATTCTTGATATGCAATCACTGTTTTGACAGGTGTCTGCAGTTATTAATTTGGTTCCATGCATAACAACAGCTTCTCAGGACTATCTGTAGAGGTCACTGCAGTTATTATCAGCATTTCCCATTTATGGACTAACCTTTTCCTGGAGGAAGGAGCTCTCCCAGCCTTCTAAGAAAAAAGTAACTGGGGAAATTGCTCTACTCGAATCAGGGGGCTTGTCTCCCATAGGAAGTACCACAGCCTTCTGTGAAGTCCTTCTACGCCTCTTTTGTGTTTAACTCGGAAAGTGAACTCCAGAGAGCTTTGTGTGGCCAGAGAATGAATTCTAGAATAAGAAATCAGTCTTAAGTCTGCATTAACAAATGCTTCAGTGCCTCTGTCCCTGAACATTTTCACCAGTCAGCAAATGAAAGAGAAGACAAAAATGTTGTTCCAGGGAAGTAAATAGAAGAGATGATTGATGAGAATGTGTCTAAACCATGGCACGCTAGCCAAGTGAAGAGCCAGCCATTGGCATCTTAATATGTGATGGGGGAAAATAGTTTCCTGACGTAATTGAATACCCATCTGTGAATGCAAAGAATGAGCAGTTTTGCTTTATTTGATACATATTTGTCCCAGTATACAGATAATCCTCCATATTGTTGGAATTTTCCATGGGTTTTTGTTAGGGAGGTTTTGTTGGCATTTGTGTCTTTTGTGGGGGTTTTGGTAGGTTTGGGCAACTGGAGATATTCTGGAAAAGCTTCTGCTCCTCTGGATACCCAGTTGTTGTCAACCTAGCCACTCAGGTGGGCTTCTCCATCCTGTCCTGGAAGAACGCAGAGAGCTAAAGACACCAAGTCCTGAGACATTGGGACAGTATGTCTCTAAGAGAGAATGACATTTCTTACTGAGCTGAAATAAGGCAATAAAGCACACAGGATGGAAGCTAGAAACACTGACAGCAGAGTTTGGCAAGTGTTCCATATCACAAAGGCAAGAACTCAATGTGCTCTGTGAGGGGAAAAATACAATTTCACTGTAGTACTTGTCAGGGAGGTAAAGTCAGGACAGACTGGAAACTGTAGGATAGCCATGGGCCTGAAAGGTTGTGCAATTACCTTAGGAGAAAAAAAAAGACACTGTGTCAGAAAAATATTCCTTTGGAGTTGACTTCTTTAGAGAACATGCTCCAGCTCTCCAGCCAGAGCCCTTGAGTTGGAGGCTTTTGTCCATGCTGTGAGTGGTGCCAGAATGTCTGCCTCAGGAAATGTCAGCTCTGGGACTGAAGGCAGCCTTCTGGGCTTAAAAGTACTACAAGCAGAGCATTTAACAGAAATTTACTGATCTCTAAGAGAGGAAACAGAGAGAGGTTGTAGAGAGGTTGAGTTTCTTCTTGCGGAAGAAACACAAGAAAACCTTTGGAGGTGCTGGAGCAAAAGCATTTTAAAAATCTTATGGTCACCAAGTGCCTCATTTAAAAAAAGCAGCAAAGAGAAACCAAAATAGCAGTGGGCAAACTGTGTATGGCCCCATGTGCTGGGCACAGGGGAGGATTGTACAATACCCTTTACTGGTATTGTAAGAGGGGGAAGGAAGATCTCCAGTCTTAAATAAGGACATGAATGTGCATCCACAGTATGACGCTATTCTCTTCCTTTGACTGATGGTCCGCAAATAAAGATAGGCTAAAACAAAGCATTTCCATGAAAAATCATTTAAAAACTCACCTGTATACAAGGGTCAATAGAAAACAAACAAAACAATAAATCATTGTGTTTTATTGGGTTCATTGCTAAGTTTGGCAAACTGGCAAATTATTCAAAGTTCAAATAGCTTTTTTCTT